ATAAAATGAAAGAATTAACTATAAAAATAATGAAGCATATGATAAGGGGTAGTTTATTGCATTTAGAAATTAGAAGAGTGCTGTCCTACTCTTGTACAATGTTCATGCACAAGATCAAAATAGATGCTCCATTTTCTATTCGTGGAAAAGCTTGACATGTTGGTGCTGGTTCTGTGCTGATGAACTTCTCCACGTTATTGCTTTGACTCTGGCATTTTACGTGCACATTTATTGGACCCAACCTTGAAAGTAGATATTGGCTTCTATTAATGTCCTCTCAGATATTGAGCCTCTAGTTTTGATGATATTTCTGGGACATGATGTGTGAGAGGACATCTGGATCGGAAGCTGTCAACTTCCAAGGTTGGGCTATGGATCGGTGGATGGTTCAAGAACTTGCGTGGTTCATCCATCGTCCATCACAATGCATTAATTAGATGGGCCCTCTCTGTGTCATGTTTGTGAAGCATATCTTATCGTTGATTTTAAATGAAGTTATCTCGCAGCGCTTAGTGTCCTTGATTTGATCCTTTTAACTTGGAAAAAGGTGAAGGTTTCACTTTCATTTTGCAGGGGGATAGATTGACAGCAACTAGAGTGCATTTCAACTTGGACTGGCATGATCTTACAGTGCCATTGATAATTGTCGTATCAGGCTGGTGCTCTAGAAGGCAAGAAGCAAAGTAAAAATTGAGGACATTTGATGGAAAAGTACTGTCCCACTTGAGACACCTCTCCCTGTTGATAAACAGAAGAAGATGCTCAGGGGGTGAAAACACAGCAATGCTGTTTTAGACTGCTATTACATGTTCTTTACAGATGATGAACTGGGTTTTTCTGAATTCTCCACAAAAAGCAAGTGTTTTTCTGGCTGGAAAATGCATCCGATTTCGGGTTCACATCTTCATGAAAATGGCCCTTGAGATGTTGCAACTGTGATGTGAAACTTCAATTCAAGGACCCTCTTCCAACCTCGTTTTTTAATCTGTTCACAGATTCCCGGAGAAATCACATAGCTTTCCCTCCTCCGCACCAAGTTCTCAATCAGCAGAGCTCGGAACCGAACACGAGATAAGTTGATCATGCATACAGCTTTGTAAATACACTTGGGAGTCGAACTGCCACCAGCAGGAATAAAGTATCCCATGTTAGACAGGATTTCTTGATACATTTTCCAGTCAAGTAAGATTCTGTAGTCTCTCATCTGTTCACAGACACCAAGAAAGTAGACAGCAAGTAGTAATATTCAACTTTGTTCAGTTACGCTATGTTTGTTGTTGTGATGGGCTAGATGTGAACATAATTGAAAGTGTTTGTTAAATCAACGCATCATAATTTTACTTTGAACTCTTTTTAGAAATTTTGGTAATCTAAAGCTTTTTTTAAATCATAATTATAAAAACAATCATAATACAAATACTTCGAATCTATTTAAAGTTAGCAGTGTAACTAGAATTTCGTGAAATTTAAAAAAAATTATATATTTTTAAATTATTTAGATATATTTAATTAAAAGTTGAGTTCTTAATATTAATATATTTAAACTAAACTTCTCTGGGCCGCAGTGGCTTCGTCCTTGCATCATGGTAACTTTGGAAGAGTAGAGTCCGTGAATGAGTTGGTGGGGTCCATTCAGTTTACAGAATCCTAGCCGTTGAAGACTTCATCAGACACCCACTCATGTAGCTTGATGCTTGAACATTGCTTACATTGCCAGGATGTCACAGGACCGATCTTTCTTCATCATTTATAATCATTCATTCATCCTTTATGATTTCATGGTAGGTTTTGTAGGGTTCAGATTTAAGCAATGAATTTTTATGCACTTTAATATAATGTGATAATTGATGATTATTAATGGAAAAATAAATAAATTCAACTCCTGGAGTTGATGGGGTTGTTTTGGGAAAAAAAAAGGGTATAAAATTAATTTTATACACTTTAAATGAACATTGAAATGCGCTGTATTTTTAAAATATTTGATTTATTTTAAAAAAAATATATATTTTAATATTTTTTAGATTATTTTTAATATACTAATTTTAAAAATAATTTTTAAATATAAAAAATTATTTTAATATATTTTAACATAAAAATATTTTAAAAATAATTTTAATTACATTCTAAAACATGCCCTAAATTTTTTTCCAACCCTGTGATTAATATGAGACAAAATGTGGAACGATGAAGATTCGCAAGGAAAGGAAGATTTTCATTTTTTCTGGAAAAAAAATAAAAAATATATATATAAGAAATTTATTGGAAAGGTTGTTAAGAGACAGCTGGCTTTAGTAGGGTTAATTTTGGAACATGAAAGCACCGTCCATTGTGATCTGTAGAAGGGCCCCGCGTTTAACGGCTACGTGCACGTCACGTCGGCGCTGACAACTATTGGTTAACGCCGTTTAAAAAATCCATGTAGCCGTTGAACATTTTGAATGTGGTTTGGCGGGTGGAACAAGTCTTGTTTTATTATCCCAATTGAGTTGGGCTCTTGCATGTATAAATGCCAGCACAGTTTCTTATGGTGAGAGAAAATGTTTTGGCAGCTAATATTCTCTCAAGAGCACTAAAGCGACTTATTTTAAGGGATTAATTAAATTAAATGATTACAAGTAGAGCAGGTAACTATTATTTTTTATTTATAAATATATTTAAATAATATTTTTTATATTTTAAAAATATATTTTTATATCAAAACAAACTAAAATTATAAAAAAATAATATTAAATATAAAAATTAAATTTTGTGTTTGGAAATATGGCTATAATTACTTTTAAAAAAAAATTCACTCATAAATATATTAAATTAATATTTTTTTATTTTTTAAAAAATATTTTTAATATCAACTCATTAAAATAATTTAAAAATATTAATTTAAAATAAAATTTTAATTTTTTAAAAAATATTTTTAAAATATGAAAACAAAGTGACCAAGTCTCTCGCCTAGACAATCTCCATAAACAATGAGTTTCTACTGGTAAAATGTGACGTGACCAGACACACATCAATAAGTGAAGATGATATCAATAATAATTTGACATGTTATTTGTTAATTAGATTACTGAAATTAATATGTTTAAACCAACTAACACTTGCACTTGATACGATAATCTCAAAGTTGATGTAAATTATGACCCATAATATTCTTAGCATCATAGTTTCGACATTATTTTTTTAATTATTATCATCATCTTATAATAATCTTGTTCTTTATTATTATTGATTTTTTACTATTATTATCATCATTATTTTTCATTTTTTTACCATCATGATTATTATTTTTTTTATCATAATTATTATCATTATATTACCACTATAAAAAGTATTTATATTTTAAAACAAAAATAAAAATTTAAATGTAAAGTATTTTCTATTTATAAAATATTCTCCACGAGGCAGGCGCCAATCAAGCCATTTGTAAACTCTCGACATCAGAGGTGAAAACCGGGATATCTTAAAGCAGAAGCGTCCAAAAGAGATCCAGAAAGCAAAGGTGCTAACTGACGGTTATATTGATTGCTGGGAAAGATCAACGGGCATTAATTAACGGTAACGGATACTTGATGCGAGCTAAAATGGAACTGGGCCAGGTAGGAAAGAGAAAACGTGTTCCAGTTAAAGATTCTTGGATGGGCTTGTAGAAAATAATGAGAGTAGAGTAGATGGCTAAACCCTAGATTCCCCCTTTTCCTTTTCTTTTTTCCGATTTCTCCTCACACCAAACTATGATAGAAGGGGAGGAAACGACAAGCAGTCAACTAGGACACCTAAATCTTAGGCATGATGGAGACTTATGAATCTGTCCATTGTGTTCATTTTAATAACGAAGTTGACATCTCCACTCCTCCTCGCCGTACTTGCTGGTGGTGGGCAACCATTTTGGTGGGATTTGGTGCCAAAACCCTCGCATCAATCTAATATCTTACACCCATTTTTTATTTATTAATTTTGTACGAGATTCAATGTTCCTTGCGGCCTGCTTGCAATTAATTAGTTATTTTTTTATTATATATTAGGTGTAATAATCACCTTCGTTTTCATTGTGTAATAATAGTACTAATAATTATAATCATTTTGTTTTTAATTTTATAAATCTCATTTATATAATTTTTTTAATTTATAAAGCATGATATTTTAATTATATGAGATTGAATCTTTCTTATTTATGGCAAACAAAATCTGAAACATTAATGATATTAATATTTTATAATTAAAAAACCATTTGAAAATATACACATAATTATAATTGCATATGAAAATTATGCTTTTGATTTAAGAATGCTATTGAAATCATAACTTAATGTTGTTGATTTTGAAAACATCAGTGAAATCACAAGCACACTTATCTTCAAACTATCACTAATTACTTTTATTTTTTTTAATTTATTGATTCAACATGTATTTATAGTCTGTTAATAATAATACATTGATTACATTAAAGTTTTATTGTTAATGTTTATTATCATATCTTATTTGTTATTATAATAATAATTATTTTTTAAAATATATTTATTAGAAAGTATACCAAAATAAATATTTTAAAAAAATTATTTTAAATTTTATCATATTAAAACAATCAAAAAATATTAAAAATCAAATTTTACAAAACACATGGCCAGTCGCATTTCTAAAGAGGTTCTTGGTGCCATGTTTTATTTTTCTATCATTTGTATTTGAAATTTATCCTTGAACCTTAATCTAGCTAGCCATTTAGTCAACAATCCCAGTAATTAAAATCAAGTTCCAATCATGATTCTTCTGTTATCCACACAAGATGTGTTGAATTGTTCTTCTCACGAAGGAAACAATTGGAGTTACAATTAAAATATGATGAAAAACAACATAAAAATTCTAGAATTACTAGAAGGTTGGTGCCCTAGCTTAATCTCCGGAGTTGGTGGTTGCCCACGAACTAGAATGGCAATTTAGTCAATAAAACCCAAACCAGAGTCAAGTCACGAATGGTTTGTCCACTTATAAGTCTTCAACTCGCTAAGCCCTTAGCTGTTGTCTTAACCTCTTGAAGAGAAAAGAATAAAGAAACCTTAAGCTCGTTAACATACACACCACCACCCCACATTACCATCATCTCCCACGGCCCCCATAGAGAGAGAGAGAGAGAGAGAGAGAGAGAGAGAGCACGGGAAACCACTTCAAGAAAACCAAAAAGAGAGAAGAAGAGAGTTTCCTTGTGTATATTTAAGCAATGGCAAGTCTGGGTTCTTTTTTCTTGATCTCCGCGACCGTCTTGATCTTGATGGTGATGGGCTTGCCATCCACCGTTCAAGGAAATGGGGACCACCACCACCTGGGGTGGATTCCGACCACCACAGCCACCAGATCATCAATCTGCGACAAAGGGTCTTTAGCAGAGTGCATGGCTGAGGAGGATGGGGAAGAGTTTGAGATGGACACGGAGATCAACAGGCGCATTTTAGCAACTAGCAAGTACGTCAGCTACGGTGCGCTTCAGAAGAACAATGTTCCTTGCTCTAGGCGTGGTGCTTCTTACTATAATTGCAAGAATGGTGCTCAGGCCAATCCTTACAGACGTGGATGCAGTCGCATTACAAGGTGCCGGGGTTGAATTTTATTTATTTACTTATTATTTTTTTTTAATTTTTTAAAATGGGCTTGATTGATTGTCACCCTTGAATGGCAAAAAGAAAAAAGAAAGGAGTTGGTGGTGTTGGCTTTTTGATGTTATTGATGGAAATATTGTTGGCGTAACAATATCTTGATGTCTTTGTAAGAGATTATCGTTAACTACTACTGCTATTATTCCTTCTTCTTCTTCTCTTCTAATATTTCTCTCTAATTTTTGTAATGGGAACATTTTTTCCCCCTAAATTTATGCTTTAGATTGTGTTGATTTAGGTGGAAAGATCCATGCTTTAAGTTTGATTGATTTTAAATCTGGCCATGGGTGATTCCATGCTCTCCTGCTCCCCTCTCATAAAAAGCTTCAAACTAATTTGTGTTCGCCTTCTCGGCACAGTTTGAACTGTTGAATAGGGCTGCATTTCATGCCAAAGAATTTTACAAAAATCTGGCTCTACTTGTCGAGCAGTTCTATTGGGACTTGTGTGTTTTTTGCTAGCAAGTCATGGAAATTCTCATTTGGAAAATTGACTGGGAGCTCAGCTTCCTTTGTTTCTATCTCTTTCTCGAGTAAAAAGCGAGAAAGGTAGGAGGAGGAAGAAACTAAAGCGGCATAAAAGCTAACAGGGAAAGAGAGGCTGTACAATTATTGGGCTGTATTTAGCATAAATTGACTCTCACATAATTGAAGAAAGATGAGGAGAATAAAGGCTAATCTTTTGGCCAAAACAATAGACATAAAGAGGTGGGAACAAAGCACATTATTCTTCAAGCATCTAACTCTTTTATAAGCTACACCCTAGCTACTTGTATAAACCTCTAGAACCTAATTAATCCATGGCAGTGCTTAGCGTTGCTTTTTTACAGTGAAGACAGGAGTCAAGGGATCCTCTTCTCTTAAAAAACAAAGGGAAAAGAAGCACTCCCATATGCTTCATGTGACAAAATTGCCGTTAAAATGGTCCCTTGTTCTTTATTTTTATTCAATTGTAGATTAAGTTCATTTTTAAGAAAACATCAGGGTTAACTTGTGTTTAATTTAATTAAAAACTTGATTTGATCCAAGTATCGAGTTGACTTGATGAGATTTACTGGATTTAATAACACTAGGATAAAGAAGGTGACAAGAAGACCAAATCATTTACGTCAACGATTCTTATCTTAGTTAATTGGATTGTAATCATAACATTATTTTACTTATTTAGAGGTTGTTTAAGAAAACGGTTGAAATTGTATTTTTAAAATTTTAAAATTAATTTTTTTATATATTTTTGAATAGTTTTGATGTATTTTTGAAATCCTAAGATTTTATGGGCAAATTGAAATCTATCACGAGAAAAGTGAATGGGTGAGTGACACGATAACCTGCTGGGGTTATTGTCACCTGAAAAATATAAAGGTTGATGCTCCTCTTATTAATCACCCTTCTTTAATTTCGTTCTTGAGGTGGCCATATGCTGTGTTTCTTATTGCTGGGTCATCTCCCTCATAAATAGATAATCAAAGGTCTAGCATGCGGTCCCCTTTGCCCAAACCCGCATTTTTTTCTTTAAGGTCTCTCTAAGATTTTCCCTTCACACTGTTGGGATATTTGTTTCATCTTTCCCATAACGTTTGAGATTGATATATCTGTGTTATATATAGTTATAAAATACAGACTGGTCTAATAATTTGATATATTATATCAATTAATTCGGTGCTTAAACTAGCTTGAGTTATATATATATATATATATATATATATATATATATACACATATTTGACCTAAAAAACCTGACTTCGCTCATTTAAACCCATCTCTCAACCTGCATTGTTTTTAGATTCTTTTTATTAAAATAATTTTATTTTGATTCATTTTAAAAAATTATTTTTGAAGGTTTATTATTCAACATATGACTTAAATCTTGTATTGAGTCAACCCTTAAATTAGATTTTATAATTATAATCTATGTAATTTGTTTTTCAAAATATTTACTGTAGTTGTTTTTTCATCTTTTGGATTGATTTTCATACACTGATTTTATATATATATAATTGGATTTTATTTTATACCAAACATTGACACACTTAATGCATTTGTGGGAAATTAAATAAGAATTTATGTTATCACAATTTTCTTTTGAATTCGAACTCGCAAATAATACCACATGGAATTTCTGATATGGAGATATTCAAGATTTTTTTGGTGAAGGTAATTTAAGATATCAATTATTTTTGTATTTAGTAAATTAAGAAATATTAAATCTTGAAAGTCTCAATGTCTTATAACACTAAACTGTCTGTAAACGTAGAGGTGTAGTTCCCTTTTAAAATAAAGGGGAATTTTCAAATACCAAACACTTAAAAATATTTTTTTTTTCTTAATTCGAATAACTTCCATGCATTCTCTTGTTTTTTCTATCAGAAAAATAAATGCTCTACGTAAGTGGTTAATTTTAATTTAATGCTCAAACGATTAATATAATATGTGGTTTATTTAATTTTATAAAATTAAATTAAAGTTAATATATTAGGTTTAAACAAAAGAAATATAATTTTTATATTAAAAAATATCTTATTGCCAAATTAAATATTATAAATTTAAATAGTCAAATGATAAATTGATTCAAATTTTTTTATAAATTAAAAAAACAAACAAAACACATAATTAAAAATCTTCATTTTCAATCCATAACAAATATTATATTACTGCAAAGCTATTAAGTCGGACTCGAGTCAATGCCTTTGATGAATAAGTTAACTCTTGAAATAAAATTAATTTTTTTTTAAAAAAATAAAAATATTTTTTCAGATTTTTATTTGAGAAAGTTCAATTAGTTTTTTGTATCGTGATTGTCTAATTATTTTTTTATTGATTGTTTTTTCAAATTAGTTATGTTAAAAATAGATATATCAAGTTTGATATCAACCTGTTAAGCGGTGTTTAGATAGTGTTGGAAACTATTATTTTTAAAATTATTTTTATTTAATTTTTTTAAAATAGTAATTTTTAATTTTTAAAATTCATAAATAATTTAAAATAAAAAAATATATTAAAAAACACTGCCACGCCGGAAAATCAAAGATGCTGTTAAATGACAGCCGTTGCTAGTAATTACTGATCACAATTAGTTTCCGCGCCAACGCTGTCGGTGACTTCGAAGTTTTATCGTGTAAAGTACAAACAGGATTCATGTGATGGGAGATCAGATGGCTCCATCACTTATAATGGACCCCAGGATGGTGAAAAATCTGCTGGTTCGCGTCTGGGATGGCCCACAATGGAAATATCAGATTGATAAGCCAGCATCAATCTGCTAATTTCACCCTCCGATTCTTTCGGATAGAATTTTGCTAAACGGACTGGCCTGGCAGACGGTGAACTGAGGATACTGCAGCATCATCATCATCATCATCATCAGCAGCAGCAGCTTCCATTCGCCAGCCCGCATCGTCAGTGGAATCCACACTCCAAAATCGATCTGCACAGACTATAGACTGGCTAGCTAGCCTTCCTTCCAATTCTCCAATCCCGAAAGCTAGCATCCAGCGCAGCGCCCATGGGGTGAGTGGTGATGTGAACATGAGATGACCGTTCTGTCTTCCATGTCCTTTCTGTCACTGAACGTGGACTCTTGTCTCCTGCAAAAACAAGACCTTGTTCGAGCTATGAACGCCTTGTAGCTGGTAAGTTACGTCAACAAGAGGATGGGGATGATTAAGACTTCCGTAAAGGTTTAAAGAGTAATAGTTGATTTTTGAAATATAATTTATTTGAAAATATATAAAAATAATATTTTTTTAAAAAAATATTTACAGTACTAACATACAAGATCTAAAATTATTTAAAAAATATTAATTTAAAATAAAAATATTATTTTTTAAAAACATACTTTAAAAAAACAAAATTTATATAAATTATGATATCTAGATTCAACATGATAACTAGTGGTCCAACAAATTTCATAGCATGACTAGAGTTGACAATAAGTTTATTACTGGTCTGCCTAACATTACCTGTTGCGAGGCCAGGTTCATCGAGTTTTTTATTTGTTTTTAAAATATTTTTAATTTTTTTTAATTTTAAATTAATATTTTTTAGTATGTTTTCATATTATTTTAATACTCAAAAATATTATTTTAATAAATTTCTAAATATAAAATACTTAAAAAAACTGTAACCAGGCTTTTAACCTTTCTTATCCAAAACAATATAATATAAAAGATTGGTATAATTTTTTTTAAAATCAAATATGATTTAACTGAGTTGATATATGTTGACTTATTTGATTAAATAAAGTTTTATTTATATTATTTTAAAATTCGACGTGTGCGTACAAATCACGTGGTTGATTTACGAGGTTTAATATCTAAGGTTCACAAACTAATGTATATGTTGATGTTTTTTTTTATATATTTCAATTATAGCCAACTTAAATAGAGTACACTGAGCTAATTAATGTCTCCATCCATGCAATTGGTTAAGAAATTAGTAATGCATTAATCATGTCTGACAAAATTAATGTTGGATGAATTGTACATTTTTTTAAATCAGGACAGCTGTTTTTCAATATTTCTATATATAATTACCGGACCCTCCTTTATATACACTCTAACTAATGCCATGTCTTAGCCATATGCAATGTTGCGTACATTTGGTAGACCACTTTTAAATATTTTGGAGACAATATAACGAGGGAGTTAATAAATCTATTAAAATACTATTTTTTAAAAACAAATTATTTTTTATTTCAATACATTAAAATAATAATAAAATATTTAAAAATACAGTCCAAATCTAAACAAGCACTATATGAATTTTTCATGTATGTTTTGGTTTAAATTCGAAGGAAGGTTCACGAGTTCAGATATAGATATTCCATGTAAAATATAATGGAATTATTTTGCTAGAGTTTACTCGCAAATAATGCATATCAATTAATATTAAATTACTTTTTTTTAGCGATTCTAAAATCTAAGGTGTACGATGATCCATGGTATTCGGAGGAATTTGATAATCTTATAAGTATTGCACCAGTATTTTAACCTGACAAAAGGAAGAAAAAATAGCAAGCCTCTTTAACCGTCGATATAAATAATATATTTCATAAATCTAGTAAGTAAATGAAAATAAAGAAGTACAATTGAATAATTTTTAAATCACGTATTTCGGATTAGATTGTTCTTTAAATTTTCGCTATAGTAATACTGTAGATATATTTTTAAAAAAGATAATAAAATAATTTAAATTTTATGTGAATATAACACAATAAAGACACCTTACTAATAATTTTCATTAAAATCTTCTCACTTTCTGGTAATCTTTCTAGAATAATTACATACTCTTTTTAAAGCTTGCATTTAGTTACCATTCTTAAATAAAAAAATAAAAACAATAAAGATAAAAGAATAAGATAACAAATAAAACAAAAGATATAATTATATTTGATAATAGTATACCGGGTATAATTCTTGTTTCTATATATTTTTTAGTTGCTATAAAAAAATATAATAAAATATATACATTATCATTAATGTGTAGTACTCACAACCATTTTTATTTATTTGATATTTAAAAACTTAGGCTGAAAACATAAATAAGAATTTATTGATTTTTTTATTAAAATAAAATTGTATTGTTTCGGGTTGAATCTCAAGTTAGGTTTAAAAAATATAATAATTATTATTTTTATTGTATATTAACTCGGGTTAATCCAAGTTGACCGTTTAGACTCGTGATCTAGATTTTGTTCCGGTGATTGATAAATCAAGTTTTAAAACTAGTACAACAATCATTTTTATTTTTGTGTTGACCTGAGTTAATATGAGTTTACCCTCTTAATTTATAACTTAGATCTTGTCCTGGATTGACCCTTAAGTCGGATTTTAAAACTGTAATAATAATTATTTTATTTTTATATATTTTAGTTAAACAATAGAATTTAACATTTTTACAGAGATATTTAAAAAATAAAATACTAAAAATATTATTTATGGACATATCCTATTTATATTTTTGTTTGTTTTGAAAATACATAAATTTATTTTAAAAACAAATGTATTTTTATTTCTTTATTTTTAATTTTTGTTGTTTCTATCATTTCTGCCCCAGAAAATCTCAACACACCACCTTCTTGCCATCCAAACCTTTCCCCTAAAAAAGCACACAAAATCACAAACTTAGCGGCTATGGTCTCAATCCAATGACGCCAAAATTCCGCGAAATGGAAAAATGCCATGTAATTTAGTGTAATGTATTATGAATTGTTTTTTTTTTAATATTTTTTTAAAATATATTAAAATAATATTTTTTTATTTTCAAAAATTTATTTTTAATATGATAACCAGTTTTTAAAATAATCTGAAAAAAATTTAAAATAATATTTTTAAAACAATACCCACACTACAGATCTAAACTCTCACCACAGCCGTCCATTCTCACCGATTCCCGCGCTTCCTTTTCACACCGAGACCCGTGCTTCTTTTTGTAATCCAGTCTATAAATAGAAGAAAATCCTCCCTTCTTTAACCATTCCTCGTTCTCATCGAACCCTTTAAAAATATCGAAAACCTTATTTTTGTCAGGCTGCGAAGACCCTTTTGATTAATCTTCTCACACAACGAAGGACTCTCTCGTCATGGCTGAAAACGATGTTAACATGCAACAGCAATTGGTAAGGATTTTTTTTTAAAAAAGCTTTTTTGAAATTGGGTTCTTGGGATTTTGTCTTGATTGATTTTGCTTTGTTTTTTGAAGGCTAGAGAGGAGGAAGAGAGGAGGCTGAAGTACTTGCAATTTGTGCAAGTGGCCGCAGTGCATGCTGTATTGACGTTCACGAACCTGTATATTTATGCCAAGGACAAGGCTGGTCCGTTGAAGCCTGGGGTGGAGACTGTTGAGGGGACGGTTAAGAGTGTTGTGGGACTTGTTTACGATAAGTTTCGCGATGTTCCTATTGAAGTTCTCAGGTTTGTTGATCGTAAGGTGAGTTTTGAGGTTTCTTTACTTGATTGAATATGATAAGCCATACCCTCGTTATGCTTAATGACATGCATATTGCCTGACACGAATTTGTGATTCTAATCATGATATATGATATGGGATTTTTTTTTTCAACATTTCTGTACTGCTATATTGTTTGCATGTGATTTTGATAAAAGATACGATAATATGTTAGGTTATTGTGATATGGTGAGTATTGTTGGTAAGGCTGATGTTGATAGAAGGACCTGGGCCTTGTTGCTTTCGAAATCTTGCTTGGAGGTGAAGGTCTTGAATTCTGATTTTGAACCAGATTTTGTTACAAATTGATGTAAATGGGTTAGAAAACCTAGAATCCATCATGCAGCCCTTGAATCCACAAGGGATCTTCTTTGAATCGCAGAGAAATTGGGTTCTTTAATCTTTGGATCCACGAGAACAAAAAACTATCGGATTTCCAATTTATGCCTTCTGATTAGGCAATTCTCTGCATATCGCTTTCTTCATTTGAGTGCAGGGTGCATTTTTTTTATGTTTTTATGCTCTCTCTGTTCTCCACATTCTTCATTTGAGTTTAGTTGCATTTGTGGACATTGTTTATGCTTTGTCTGAAGGTGAGTGTTCATAAATTTGTGTAGAGGGCATACTGATGGAAATTGTGACCTAATGTATGGTGTGGTTCATGATCTTGCTTATCCACATAATCGTCTCTCTCTTTTGTTCAGTCATCAGATAGTTAAAATTGCGCAACCGCAAAGCAGATTGGTTGCTCTTAAAGACCTTGCTTTTTGAAGATTTCAAAGAATGCTATGCCTCTGTGAAGATGATCGGATTAGTCTATGCTCTGATTTTCTGTATATTTTTATACCTTATGATGCTAGAATTGACTTTAGGCTTATGCAATTAATCACTCAAGATTTTCAAGAATTGCTGTGTGAATTGAAACTTTCTATTGTTGCAGGTGGATGAATCTGTCACTAGTCTGGACACCCATGTGCCCCCACTTGTCAAGCAGGTGTCATTCCAAGCCCTTTCAGTAGCTC